AGGAAGAAGGAATGGAAGAAGGAATGGAAGAAGGAAAAGAAGAAGGAAAGGAAGAAGGAATAGGAAGAAGAAGGAAAGGAATAAGGAAAGGAAGGAGGAAAGGAAGAAGGAAAGGGGGGAGGGAATGGAAGGAAAAAAGGAATAAGGAAAGGAAGAAGGAATGGAAGAAGGAAAGGAAGAAGGAAAGGAAGAAGGAAAGGAAGAAGGAAAGAAAGAAGGAAAGGAAGAAGGAATAGGAAGAAGAAGGAAAGGAAGAAGGAAAGGAAGAAGGAAAGGAAAAAGGAAAGGAAGAAAAAAGAATAAGGAAAGGAAGAAGGATAGGAAGAAGGAAAGGAAGAAGGAATACGAAGAAGGAAAGTGAGAAGGAATACGAAGAAGGAAAGGAATAAAAAAGGTCAAAGGAAATGTTGACGGAAATGAAAAAGGAAAGGCGGAAGAAAAGGTATATTTCTTCTGAAATCAAAGTCTACAGATGTTGAAAGGTAAATATATTCAATTTGTTCAAATATGTTCAATTTTTTTTACTCTAAATTAATATATTTATCCTTTTGGGCCGTTCACGTGGTTCACCCGTTTAGACTTAAACAAACAAGCAACATTTATACATGTAAACTGGTATTTTCATAGCAAATAAATAAAGTTTAAGCTTAATCCGTCATTAGTTCGTCTGTTTGTTAAATGATTCTTTGAAATAAGATTAAACCAAGAATTTTAATAGTTTTTGATAATGAAGTTTCCATAAGTGTGACAGATTAATTTTTCAATTCCCTCTTATGTTCCTAACTGGAGGTGATAGAGTGTAGATTTATATTGATTGATAAAATCAAATTCTTTAATTTTAAAATATTTGGATTCATCTGTGGAATCATTAATCAAGTCTAATCCAAGGAAGCTGTGAAATCAAACCATAATTCAAAATAAAAAATAAATATTCAAAGTTTTTTACAAAACTGAAAGAATTTGATTACAATTTTACAGATTTACAAAACTTCAGTGCAAGTTTGATCAAACTCAAAATTAATATTTTATTCTTATTTTTTATCGTGCTTTCTTCACAGTGAGTAAACCTATATATCCCATCAAACACTCCTTGTAAACCTTTAGCTCCCATCAAAAACTCCCTGTAAACCTATAGATCCCATCAAACAAATAGTTTAATGTTTTGTTTCTCAATGATCTATATAGTGAATAGTGATTACTAAACCAATAACAAACAATTACCAATTTTACTAATGGTTCTCCAGCCAAGAATTCTAGACCAATCTTTCATTTAGAGAATTGATTTTTGGAGATTATCTATAGATCTAGTTTAGCTTGCAGGTTTATATTCTCACCATATAGGTGATAATTACCACCAGATCAGTAGATCAAGGAGATACAGGAGGGGTCAGGGGACATAAGCTTGATGGATCATTGAACAATCAGATACTCATTTATACCATCAGATAATTCAAATACTGTCAAATTAAAAGCAAGTGTCAGCTTCAATAATTTTCAAGTTTAAAGGGAGTGTTTACTAATTCAAGATTGCATGAAACCTTGGTTGTATTCATCATTCCTAAACTAAGAAAGTCAAATTTTTGTAAATATTTTATTTTTAATGAAATTAGGGTTTCAACACTTCAAAGCATGGTTTCACAAAATCTAAAACATTTTGCTATAGGAATTAGGTCTTTGCCACAAACTAAAATGTTCTTATCCCTATTTCTTTGCAACATGGTAGCGTAAATCTTTGATTTTTCACACTATAAATATTTGATCTTTGTTTGAAATATCTAAGGTCCATGACATAAATAAATTAGAAAACCACACTGTGTGGCAAAGACTTCCTTTGTAAAACCTCTTTACTCCAAAGTCCAAATATCATCTTGTGTGTTTCTTATATATAAGAGGTCATTTTGCTCTTTACTCCAAATATCATTTTGCGTGTTCCTTATACATGAGGGTTGATTTTTAAACACGCTCATGCATTGCAATAAAACTAGACATATATTTCTAAGTATTGTATTCGTACGGGTTTACAAGGTTGCGTGGTTATTTCTATCAACTATAGTTGCAGTTGTTCATGCATGCAGGCGCGTAATACACAATTTGAGTTAAGAGGGGTGGGGGAGGGTGGGCAGAAAGTTTCTACGATGGTCTGTAGCAAAATGTCTATACTGTTCTCTCTCCTTTGCCTTCTTATCCGTTGCTGTACACTGTACAGGTAGGAAAAATGTGTTTAATCTTGGATAAAATGTTTGTAATCTTGGATAAAATGTTTGTAATTTCGGATAAAATGTTTGTAATCTCGGATAAAATGTGTGTAATCTCGGATAAATGTTTGTAGTCTCGGATAAAATGTTTGTAATCTCGGATAAAATGTTTGTAATCTCGGACAAAATGTGTACTCTCGGATAAAATGTTTGTAATCTCGCGGATAAAATGTTTGTAATCTCGGATAAAATGTTTGTAATCTCGGATAAAATGTTTGTAATCTCGGATAAAATGTTTGTAATCTCGGATAAAATGTGTGTAATCTTGGATAAAATGTTTGTAATGTCGGATAAAATGTTTGTAATCTCGGACAAAATGTGTGTAATCTTGGATAAAATGTTTGTAATCTTGGATAAAATGTTTGTAATCTTGGATAAAATGTTTGTAATCTTGGATAAAATGTTCGTAATTTTGGATGAAATGTGTGTACTCTCAGAAAAAATGTTTGTACTCTCGGATAAAAGGTGTGTGATCTTGGATAAAATGTTTGTAATCTCGGATAAAATGTGTGCAATCTTGGACAAAATGTTAGTAATTTTGCATAAAAAGTGTGTAATCTTTGATAAAATGTTCGTACTCTCGGATAAAAGGTGTGTAATCTTAAATAAAATGTGTGTAATCTTGGATAAAATGTGTGCAATCTTGGATAAAATGTGTGTCATCTTGGATAAAATGTGTATACTCTCGGATAAAATGTTTGTAATCTTGGATAAAATGTTTGTAATCTTGGATAAAATGTTTGTAATCTTGGATAAAATGTTCGTAATCTTGGATAAAATGTTTGTAATCTCGGATAAAATGTTTGTAATCTTGGATAAAATGTGTGTACTCTCGGATAAAATGTTTGTAATCTTGGATAAAATGTTTGTAATCTTGGATAAAATGTTTGTAATCTTAGAACAAAGGAATTGAGTCTTTGCCACAAACTCTGATTTTCTAATCACTATATCTTTGGAACCAAATGTTGTAGACCCTAGATATTTCAAACTATGAATTCTGTTGGATCAAATATTCTGAGCTTGAAATATCAAAACTTTACAACATCAGTTTCCAAAGATATAGGGGTTTTAATATTTGAGTTTGTTGCAAAAACTCAATTCCTTTGTTATAAAATGTTCGTAATTTTAAAAAAAATGTTTGTAATTTCAAATAAAATGTTTGTAACTTTCTTATTTTTCTGTAAGTAAGATATGAAAGTAAGAAAATAAGTTTGTTCGAGTGTTCTTCTCTAAGTCTTCAGTAGTCCTCTACAAAAGGGTGAAAGGGACGGTGTAAGCGTAATATTATGTGACCAGCTCCAAACGGTATTTACTCTTCAACCCTTAATCTGATCAAACTGTGGAAGATAACCTCGTTTATCACTTGAAAACTGTTTAATGCATAATTTTTCCATTCTTTCAAATAGAACCAAGAACTGTGCAACTCACTTTTGCAGAGAAAAAAAAAGATTCAAAATTTGAAAACATGGAGGGTCACATGAAATTACGTATACAGTCCCTTCAAGATCTCTAGGTTGCCCCCCCCCCCCACCACCTAGAACTGACACAACTCGTAAGTCGTGAACCAGTAGAGTGAGTGTACATATTTTCCATCCAAATAAGAGAGCGCTAACTAACCAACTAAATTCAACTTATTGTTGAATTGAAGTTTATTATTTATATAATTATTTGTGTGAATATGTTAGATAGATCGCATGCTGGGTTATACTATTATATATCTTGGGATCAGTAGCTGTATGTGAACCAAGGTTGCCTACTCTCGATGCGCTCCAATGTATGAAAAAATGTCGTCTTTTTAGTATAGTTAGATAAAATCCGCATATGACGTCACTTATTATAGAGGCGAGAGTGACGTCATATGCGGATTCTATCTATACTAAAGAGACGACATCTTTCAAACATTGCAGCACATCGAGAATAAGAAACCTTGTTAAACATCCTTGATTTGAACAAACTGTAGAGATAGGCGTAATATTTAAGTATTTAAGTATTAAGTATTCAAATTAAATTTTCAAGGCTGTATCGAAATGAATTCAGTTCAGTTTCGCGGTTATTGAAAAATGAAAATATTTAAAATATAATATTTTTAATATTAATAGCTTTGTTACTAAAATAAGTATAGGTTTTTATTTTTAAATAAACCAATCAATTAGGTTGTATTCCACTGATCCAAGGAATGTTCCAAATATGATGAACATTCAACTTTAAGCTCTTCTTGAAAGTATACGAAAACTTGGGTAAACAGTTTTATTTCAAGAGCAAACAGTGTTTACAAGATAATTTATAAACGAGCTGTGGGCGTAATTTGTGTACTTTCAGTACGTATGTATAAATAAAGGCAAAATTCAATGGTTTTAAAGAAAAAAGGTTGACCAAGTCGTTATGAATCGTTATAATAATGGTAAAATTAGTTTTATAACATAAAAAAATATATAAATATTAAATGTAAAATAATTTACAAAATAAGTTATAGGTTCTGAACGTATGAAGAGCTGTGTAGGTCCCATGGGTATATTTATGATGAATATTATGGTCTATTCATAATATGAAGAACAATAGGTATATATAGATATTCTAAGCATAACCCCATAATAAGCAGAGTATTCAACATACAAACAATCTTCACTATACAGAGGTCAAGAAAGGACCCTGTAGATCAGATTTTATAGGAAAAATTCAGGTCGCTTCCCACCCACTCTCTTCTCAATATATTCATCAAGTAACACAAATTGGAATCTAAAGATATTTAGAATAGATATGATCATTTATTGGTTCACAGAAATTTATGTAAAACAAGATAATTGACGGAGGTTAATATTTAAGCAGCTAGCACACTCATCTAAAATATCACAATATATATATATACATTTTAGGGTGTTGTGTAATCGACCACTGGTGAGTTAGAACTTAAAACAAGTATACATAAATAAGAACAAGGAAATTAAAACTTAAATGGAAAATTTGTCTTTATTTTATTGATATAAAGGCCGACCACTCCCATGTATGTATCAATGTAACCGTTAGAATAATATGAAACCACACATGATTTTATATTTTGTTATACCATATGCTTCAAATTAAAATAAGTGAGAAAATCTAAATAAGGTAAAAGTTCCAACAATAATTTGAGCTAATTTCCAAAAGATTTAGTTTTATACCTTATTTCAAGAAGCTCTATTCTTTACTACTTCTACTCATTTTATTGCTTTTACTCCTTTCATCCTGGGTATCTTCTTCTTTTATAGATTGTCTTGGAATACTTTCTATTATTTTCTTCTCTTTTAGCTTTTCCATCGCTTTATCCCACCCTTTGTTGAGCCAGTACTGAATATTCCTGAAACGAATAATTTAAAGGGACTGTAAGCGTATTTTAAACCGACCCTCCATGCAAAGATGGCAATTCCCGATTCATAACGGTACCATTGAAAACTTTATCTGATAAAAAATATGGATGATATTGACGTTTTCTAGTTTAAAAAGTGTTTGATTCTAATAATTCCTTTATGCTTTTTTGCAGTAGAAATGCGCAAATTACCTTTTTAGAAAAACCACAATTAAAAAGGATCAGTTTTAACACTTACAAACATTTCTATCTCATTCATACTTGATCAGACAGAGCTTTAAAGGGTGCCGTTGTGAATCGGGCATTGCCATGGTCACTTGAAATTACGATACATCTGTTCAACCGGATGTCGTAGACCTTTGATATTTTAATCAACGAATTCTGTCAGATCAAATATAATAAGTTTAAACATATCAAAGATTTACACCATCAAGTTGCAATAATATAGGAATTCATATTTGAGTTTGTATCAAAGCTCTTAATCTGCTGCCAGTACTCAAAGAAACTTATTACTAATTCCTAATTCATAATATTTTTATATCTTTGTAACATGATTTCGTAGATTGTGCACAATATGTGTTGTTTTAAATGCTATTAGATTGATAAGGAAAATATTGAAATACTAGAAATTCAAGGCGCTTCGCGCCCTTCTTTCTAGCCTTAGAGGGCGCTTCGCGCCCATCTTCTAAATTAATTGTAAACATGTTCTCTTTGTGTACATCGTAAAACTAAACAAAAATAATTTGCGGATTTTTACAAAAAATTTCGCGGATTTTCAAAATTTTAAAAAATTTAATGACGATCGAATTTTGATAGAGACAAATATTTGAAATTTTGATGATTCATAAACCTTCCCTGGGCTCCCTAGATGTCCCACAAAAAATTTGGGCCCGATCGGTTCAGCCGTTTTGACGTTTATTGGATACAAACAAACAAACAGACAAACAAACAAACAGACAGCAAGACAAGCCAAATTTATATATAGATTAAAGCTTACACAATTAGATTGCAAAGATATTTGGAGTATAAGATTATAATTGGAGTTGGTTTCTTTCGTTGAATTATTGCTACAACTAGTTAAACACTTGCTACATTTGAAAACAAAATTAAGTTAGTTTTGAAAATGAGAGAACTAAATAAAATGATATCTGAAGCATCAAAAATAAAAAAATAAATTTTTTTGCTTACTTTTCCACAATTTCGACTATAGAATTAAGAAGCTTGTGTATCCGGTCTACAGGAATATTATTGCTACAAATCCAGTAGCTTAAAATAGCGCCTTCCACAGCCCTGAATATTCATCAATTATCAAAATAATTTTCCAAAGAAAAAGAAATATTCATTAAAAGTGTTTTTTTTACACTTACTCTGTGATGTCGTAGCTAACAAGGTTCACGAACCAGAACATGAAGATACTTGCTGAAATTCGAACAGACATCGGGCGCGAAAGGTCCACAATAACGGCCCATGCTCCAATAAAGATGCCAGTTGCCCTCAATGGAGTCATACGAAATATGTAGCTCAACATCTTAAAACGGTTTAAACCAAAATTTCTAAATATTGTGGATTTTTAAAAACTATTTCCCGCATTTAAAGTACTTGACTCTGGCCTTTTGATATTTATTTGCCTTCTCAGAGATTGGAACTTTTGTGCATGGAGTATCATTTATCTAGAACTCTTCAGCTCGATATCCAAAACGAGCACTTTAAATCAAATTTACACATGCAAGGTGCTTAACGAACACAAAATGTCGTATTTTGACACTTACTCCAAAATAAATTAAATTAATCTTTCAGTCTGTATCATTATAAATGGAGATCAATGCTTAATCCCTGCAGATTCACAAGAAACAAATTTACTTTAGACATCGGAATATTTCTGTAGATATTGTTAATATTTATAATGCTTGATCTCGATAATTATTGTTTTGTGGTCACTTTTAGATTTGAGGATAAATGCTTTGTTCTTCAACAAGAGCTATCATCAGGGTGATTTTTCTCAAATTTGTATACTTTATTAAATTGATTATTTTAGGATATCGAAGAGGAATTAGATTAATCCGCAGGTATGCATAAAATAAAAATCAATTTATATTTATCTGTGCTCTCTGATTATAGAAGTAAGATACACTTTAAGATATACAGGGTGTCCCACGAAACATGACAGTTGGTGAATAGAATTTAAAATGTCTTCTTCCATAATTAGTTGATAATTAGTTGTTTGATAATAGAGAGAATGATAAAAAATATTATATGTCGATTTTATTATAATGAAAATGATTTCAAAGTAAAATAAATTTAAGGAAAAAAGGTTTTTAAAATGAAATAAACTGCTAAAAGTCTTAAATATTGAATACAATATTGGAAAGAAGACATTCAAAACTATTCACTAACTGTCATGATTCGAGGGACACCCTGTAGATAGGTTTATTCATTCCGTCTTTTCCTTTGTTTCAATGTACATTTAATTGACAGGTTTATAGAAATAATGTTCAGATTTTAATCTTGTTGTATCATATATACAATCAGTTTTAATAAAGCGCTTATCTATTGCATAACAAGTATCTAATTTAGCCTTTTTAGAAACCGAACTTAGAGAAATAATGCTCGGTTGCTGCCTTATAGAAACCGAACTTAGAGAAATATTGCTAGGTTGCTGCCTTATAGAAACCGAACTTAGAGGGATAATGTTCTGTTTCTACCTCATAGAAACCGAACTTAGAGGGATAATGCTCGGTTTCTACCTTATAGAAACCGAACTTAGAGGGATAATGCTCGGTTTCTACCTTATAGAAACCGAACTTAGAGGGATAATGCTCGGTTTCTACCTTATAGAAACCGAACTTAGAGGGATAATGCTCGGTTTCTACCTTATAGAAACCGAACTTAGAGGGATAATGCTCGGTTTCTACCTTATAGAAACCGAACTTAGAAGGATAATGCTCGGTTGCTGCCTTATAGAAACCGAACTTAAAGGGATAATGCTCGGTTTCTGATTTACAGAAACCGAGCATTAGGGGGTAATGGGCGGTTTTAGCCTTATAGAAACCGAACTTAGAAGGAAAATGCTCAGTTCCTGCCTTATAGAAACCGAGCATTAGGGGTTAATGGGCGGTTTCTGCCTTATAGAAACCAAGCATTAGGGGGTAGTGGGCGGTTTCTGCATAATAGAAACTGAACTTAAATGGATACTGCACGGTTGCTGCCTTACAGAAACCTAGCATTAGGGGATAGTGAGCGGTTTCTGCCTTATAGAAACCAAGCATTAGGGGTAGTGAGCGGTTTCTGCCTTATAGAAACCGAGCATTAGGGGTATGGTCGGCCATTATGACCATTTTGTTGGAGAGCCCCAACTTTTTATTGGAGTACCCAGATTAGATCTAGATATCCAAATAAACTTTATTTATCCTATTCTGAGGAGAACCCACATTCTTTCACGGCTGGACAAACTCAAAAAATTTTAATAAAAATTCGACGGAACTTCGACCTATTTCTCAGCATTCATAGGTTGTGAACACAGCAGACGACATTTAAAAACATCAAAACACGTAATTTCTTTTTTGATTTACAAGTTTAATGCAATTAAAAAGAAATTCACAATTTAAAAAAAAATCCTATCCGTTTTTTTTAACCTTTCATTTTTCTCAAAAACGGCTAATCCGTTTTGTTGACGATTAAAAAATTAACGGTTTTTGGCGTTCGTTATCTTCCGTTAATTTTTGAAAACCTTTGTTCCATTAACGGAACTTTGCCAAGCTCTACCATTACCCCTATTGCTCGGTTTCTATAAGGCAGAAACAACCCATTACCCCCTAGTGCTTGGTTTCTATAAGGCAGAAACCAAGCATTACCCCTTATGCTCGGTATTTATAAAGCAGAAACCGCCCAAATTACCCCCTAATGCTTGGTTTCAAGGACGTGAACACTGAACATGTTCCAGAACCCCAACTGATATATACCAAGATTAAAAAAATTAAAGAAGTCGAGTTTTTGCCACTAACTGAAATTTTCGAAATCCCTATATTATTGCAACAAAATTAAATAATTATCGATGATTTAAATGTTGGAGATTTGGGGTTTACGTTTTATTTCTTTGCCAAAATTCCTTCTTTAAAATTTCCTTCATCTTAGATTATGTCACTTTTTGACCACCCTTACCNCAAAGCTAGGGGATGGTTCTATACTAAAAGATGATGAAACTATGAATTTAATTACTTTATTTTTGATATTGAACTATAAATAAATAAGTATAAATTAATGAATGTTATTCTAAAACTTATGAACATAGTGCATAAATCTTGTTTAGAATTAAAACTTTTACCGCCTTTTGATCAACATTACCGACCTATGATTCCCCCAACAGAGGTCGAGGTTAGGATACTTAACGTCCCTTGGGACAGTTATGTAAAATAACCATCCGATCTGCGAAGGTTCTCAAAAGACGATAAAACTGTGTACAAATACTTTTTCGGGAAATTCAAAATTTTACTTAACCACGGGCTCCCAAGACCAATTTTGTCTGCAAAACATCCAAGGAACCCTTGGTAAAGTAAAATTCCCTTAACTCTCCCTGTAAAGTAGTTGTAAATAATGAAAATAAATGTACATAATGCTTTGTTTGAAGATAAATATGCGATTTATCTAAAGGTCGTCTTCAAATGGAATTATCTAAAGATCGTCTTCAAATGGAATTATCTAAATGTCGTCTTCAAATGGAATTATCTAAATGTCGTCTTCAAATAGAATTATCCGAATATATTGGAGAGAAATCCTCCACCTCCCCCACCTCTGTTGTTACCGTAGCCGCAAACCTAAAAAATAAAAGTAAGAATATAAAACATTTTTGTAAACAAATTCAATCTTTTAAATTGAACTTGAATATTTCTAATAATACACCAAAAAGTCGTCTTCAAATATTTGGAACTTACCTTTTTAGGAACCTCGTATGGAACCTTTCTCGATACAGTAAATGGAACATCGTGACAGGTTTCCTTGGGTACTTTGTGACATTTCTGGTAAGGAACCTGAAGTATTATTTTCTATAAATTAGAAATTCTTAAAAAGCACATTTTAGATCTGTAGCTATACAATAACAAAGCAGATGTACATGATCATCGTACGTGGTATATATCAATACAATAAAGACGAATTCATATTTCAATTTGATTTTTCATACCAATCTTTCCAACAGCTGCAGAGACATTAACATGTTCACGAAAAGAAGTTGTCAACCAACTGCAGCTTATCTTTGTTTACTGTTACTGTAGTAATTTTAATAATGCTTGTTAGGGATTCAAGTGTTTTTTAATAAAAGTCGTCTTCAATGCATTCATATGATTGCTGACCAGTGACCACTGAAGGCAATTTTAGATTTTTTTGAAACACCGCACGCCCAAAGATCGGCCTGTACAATCGAACTATACCATTGGATTAAAAAAATTGTTTCCAAAAAATCTTTCAAATTTAAAAGTTCAAAGAGTTCTTGAGGGCAAAAAACCAAAGGGAGTGGGGGGGTGTCATTTTAAAGAATAATAAAATTGTATTTTTTTACTACAGAATTTTAGAAAACAATTTATCTAATTTGTTATGAAAATGTGTAAATATAGTCTCATAGTCTAGATACCTTAACATTGTAGTGTTGAGGCACTTGTCTACATTTCTTCTGTGGAATTTGACTGCAGTTATTCTCCGGCACTTGCACTGCCACTTGGTGACAGTACTGCTTCTTGTGGCACTTGGGGTATCCTAGTATACAGAATAAGTTGGTTAGTTGTTTACACACTATGTTCTTTGTACAAAATTGAAAGCGGATAATTGATTCAATGATTTTTGTTATATTTTATATTTTATATTTTATATTTTATATTTTATATTTTATATTTTATATTTTATATTTTATATTTTATATTTTATATTTTATATTTTATATTTTATATTTTATATTTCATATTTTATACATTATATTCTATAATTTTGTATTTGATTTTACATCTCTTTGTACTCTACGCGGACCCCGACATTTCTTTCGGTAGTATAAAAAAAATTTATGTCTTATATAAATTTCCTGATAGATTTGTTACTCAAATAATGGTTTAATTTAGGGATAACATTGTAAATTGGACATGTTACTTTTGAATTAAACTACGGTGGTAGACAATAATCTATCACTATAATGAAGACGACTTTCGATTTCAATTTTAATTTATATCAAGCTTTAAACATGGAAACAAAGAAAATCCGTTAATTAAAAAAGCTTTTTTTAATTAACTGTAAATTTGTAATTCTAAAAGATTGTGAACAATTAAAACTTCAATAAAGAAGTCGTCTTCATTGTGTTAATATAATCGCATACCACCGTATTTAAAAAAGATAAGGAAGATACTTCAAAGACGACTTTACACTGTCGGTTTTCTTGTATAAAGAATTCTATGCAAATGCAAACCTAGTTGTTTCTTTTCCAAATCATGAAATAAGCCTTTAAACAAATCAAATGTAAATATTGTATTAGCTTTTGGTCGTCTTTACATTCGCATCCTTTGTGGGTAACCCTTATGTTACCTGAATGATAGTCTACAGGGCATTCCTCTTTATAGCTGCACTTGTCTTTATATTCGGTTCTAAAAAATAGAAAAGTAAATATTTTCAGATTTAACCCTATTCCTGCTTGGGGGG